TTGCACTATATAAACTATTTGCACTATTATTGGTCTTATAATAATATCACTCTTGGATACGACATTTTATTTACAGCGTTGCAGTTTTTGTGTATATACATGTGCAAGGAGCTGAATCTCCACCTCCTCATTAACACTGGGTGGGCTATAACAAACTGCAGCGATTACCTTTGTATTATGCACACCCATGTGCAGTTTCACTCATAATATTTCAGGTATACTTCAGCAATACCAATTAAATTGTAGTTCTCTTCATGCATCAAAGTTTCCAACTCACCTATTTTGCTTGGCAGACTTCTGGTATTGGTGAACAAACACTTTAATCAATTGCCACATTTTTCACAAGCATTTTGCAAATTTTTTATTATAATACAAACAGTACCATTTCCAATGGTTGTTTGTAACATGGGGACCTTCTCTCTTACCTGCCATAGCCCCCCTCCCTTCCCCGTATTTACCCATTCAATCCACCAATATAGACTGACCCCTGTCTGACCTGTCTGCCCCATTATAATCTAATTCTCCCTCCCCCCTCGATCCTAGTTTAAATAGTTCTCCAGCCTTCCCATAAACCGCTCACCCAGCTTAGCAGAACCCCTCCCCTTCCATTTAGGTGCAAACCATCTTTAGCATATGGGCTGCACCCAATAAAAAGTCATCCCAGTGCCAAATACTTTTCTGTTACACCAAGTCATTAGACATGCATTCAGTTCTCTAATCCCCCCCTGTCTGTCCTGTGTTGTGCATGGCACAGGCAATATTTCAGAGAATATCACCTTGGAGGTCCTTCCCTTCAACTTGCAGCCTAGTTCTTTAATCACTTGCCTACTGAGTACATTTACCCCCTTTCTGCCCAGGCCAATTTTCAGCTTTCAGGGCTGTCGCATTTTGAATGACAATTGCGTGGTCATGCAAAACTGTACCCAAATAAAATGTTTATAATTTTTTTGAGACAGATAGAGCTTTCAATTACCACTGGGTTTTTTATTTTTTTCCTAAACAAACTAAAAAAGACTGAAAAGTTTGAAAAAAAATTTTTTTTTCTTAGTTTCTGTTATAAAATGTTGTAAATAAGTAATTTTTCTCCTTCACTGATGTGCACTAATGAGAGTGCAGTGATGGACAATGGTAGGCGGCACTGATGAGCATGGACAGGCATCACTTGTGGGCATTGACAGGCATCACTGATGGGCACTGAAAGGCAGCACTCATATATGGCACTGATAGGCGGCACTGATTGGAACTGTTAGGCGGCACTGACAGGCACTGATAGGCGGCACCGAAAGGCAGCTCTGCTGGGCACTGATATATAACATTGATGTGCACTGGTAGGCACTTACAGGTGGCATTGATGGGCACTGACAGGTGACACTGATGGGGCTACACTGATCATCAGCCCTGATGATCAATGTAGATCTCCTCTCCTCGTGAGCTGTCAGCGGGAGGAGAGGACTGCTGATAACCGGCATTTCCTATTTACATGTGATCAGCTGTGATTGGACACAGCTGATCACATGACAGAGACAACGTCATCAGCTCTTTACAGTGATCAGTGATCTGCTGTGTCCCAAGGACACAGCGCACTGCCGATGGCCGCACAGCTCCCCCGAGGGCATGCACATGTAGTTAGAGTGGGAGGACGTCATATGACGTCCTCCCAGAACAAGAGAACTGCCGCCATTACTTATATGGCAAACGGGAGGCGGTTTAATTGATTCTTAACCATTAGCCGCCCGGCCAATGGCCGTTTGGCGGCTTCAAAACAGTCTCTGCATTCCGGGTGCACGCCATTTGGCGTGCTCCCACACATGCGCCGTTTGCGCTAATGCAGAGCGGCGCAGCAGTGCGATCTGTCACCGGCCGTGCACCTCGGACACGGCCAATGACAGATCCGAGTACCGGCTCCCGTTGCTGGTACTATGTGACCTGCTGTGACCAATCACAGCAGGTCACATGACAGTTGTATACAATGGATGGCTTCATTCATGATGCCATCCATTGTATACTAGTGCCTAGCTGTGAATGATCACAGCTAATCACATGCACATGTCATGTGATTAGCTGTGACCAAATCACAGCTAAGCAGAAAAAAAAAAAAAAAAAAAAGAAAAGCTGAATGAATCAATTTCATTCAGCTAAATGCTTGCTTATAGCAAAGTAATTCTTTGCTATAAGCAAATTGTGTAAAAAAAAAAAAAAATACTGATCACTTCCCCAAAGTAGTACAATGTTACTATGGTAACATTGTACTACTTTGGTCATAGTAAAATATGAAAAATAAATCTTAAAAAAAATTAAAATAAAATGTAATAAAAAATTAAATATAACAAAAAAATAAAAAAAAATAAAAAAAAAATAAAAATTTTTTTTTTTTCATACTGTCACCAGTCAGTGTCCCTGTTCACTGCCATGCCAGTTATATGATGATGCTGTACTGCACTGGTGACAGTATGTAAAAAAAAAAATAGTGAAAATAGTTTTTTTAATTTTTTAATTTTCCGAAAAATTATGACAAAAAAATACAACTTCAAAAAACTCGCCATGCCTCTTATGAAGTACGTCGGACTGTCTACTCTGCAAAAAGGGGTCATTTGGGGATATCTGTACTGTTCTGACATTCTTGGACCTCAAGAAATTAGATTGGCTGTCAGTACTTCAGGATTGATCAATAATCAGATCTATACCATAGTTTGTGAACTCTATAACTTTCCTACAAACTAAAAAATACATCCTAATTTGGGTTATTTTCACCAAAGACATGTAGCAGAATACATCTCGGCCTAAATTTATGAAGAACAATTATTTATTTGTAAACTTTTATAACAGAAACAAAAAAAAACGTGTTTTTTTTCCAAAATTTTGGTCTTTTTTTGTTAATTTAGCAAAAAATAAAAACACCAGCGGTGATTAAATACCACCAAAAGAAAGCTCTAGTTGTGTGAAGAAAATGATAAAATTTTAGTTTGGGTACAGTGTTGTATGACCGTGCAATTGTCATTCAAAGTGTGAGAGCGCTGAAACCTGAAAAATGGCCTGGGCAGGAAGGTGTAAAATTGCACGGTATTGAAATGGTTAAGGAGCCTCCATCTTCCATGTATTCTGTTATTGGTTCCAACAATGACTAAGACATCTGGGTCATGCCCAGCCCCTACCAGTAATTTATCAATCTGGTCAACCACATGCCGAACCCTGGAACTAGGGAGACAGCAAACCATTTGGTTGAGGTGATCCTGGCAACAAATTATTCTATCAGTTCTTTTTATTATAAAATCCCTATTACCACCAACTGTCTTGGCCTTTCGTGTGCTACCCTCAGCACCCATACTAGATGAGCTGCCCTATCAGCTGTTAGGGATAGCAGTGATATCTAGGGCTGCTACCTCTGAGCTTGCAACCCTCACATCTTCACCTAACCTGGCAAATCTGTTTGGGTGCTCAAACCCAGGGCCGGCCTTCCTTTTCTGTGAACCCCTACCATCCACTCTGACTACAGTAACCAATCTTCCTACCTGATAATCCTGACTTACTCCTCCACCCTCCACATCAACTTCATTAACCACCTACTCAGTGAGCAGAAGGCCCCCTTCAAGGTTCTCAGTTCTGCCCAGTGTTGTAAATTTCTCCTCCAGATCTCTAATGTGCGCTTCCAGAAGGGCAACCCACTCCCATCTGTCACAGTGGTATCCATTCTGGAGCTGTTGCTTCATTGTTCTATACATGTGTGTATGGCACAAAACCTTCCACCTTGCTAGCGCTCATTTTCCCAGTTACATTATTAATATTACTAACAGGATACTTCAGGTGTTACAGGTAGAAGACTCCTGTTATAATCTGTTTTAAACTCCAGTTTGTAACTCCACTTATTTATATTTCCACTCTGCTAAAGTTCCAGCAAGCAAAATGTAGGCAAGCTCAAGGATGAACAAGCTCAGAGTGATTTCAACAAAGAGCTATATAGTACCTGGAGCACTGGTGAACAATTAGCCACTCCCCTTAATTAGCAGACTGAAGGAAGGAAAAAAAAATGCTATTTAAAAACTGTCAGAAAAAGGAGTTTTAAAAATCTTCTAGCAAAGACCCCAGAGCAGAAAATAAACAACTGCAACTACCAGCAGTCAAAAGCAAACTGTTTTTCACTCTTCACTCTAACATCCCACTCTTCAGCTTCCAACCAGCAAAATGTGGCAAAACCATGCATGTTTGCCAGTGTCAAAACACATAATAGCAACGTACCATGCCCTTTGGAGCAGCATGATTTTTACTCCTTTTGTGCTATTCTCATGTGTAGCACAGCCCATAGAAATTAATGGGATGCCCTATATGTGACACATGGAAATGCTCAGAATTGCACGCATGCTCTGTTGCACCTGCATAATGTGAATGGAGCCTAAGGGGGGGATATAATCATCATGTACAAATACACAAGTTGTCCAGATAGTGAACTTGCTGCAGAGTTATTCACTTTATGGTCATTGCAAAAGATGATGCACTCTTTATGTCTGGAGGGAAAGAAATTTAACCTCCACATATGGAAAGGCTTCTTCACAGTAAAATCTGTGAAAATATGGAATAGAATCCCTCAATAACTAGTTCTGACCAGCAAAGTAGATTTTTTTTTTTAAAAAAAAGGGCTGTATGTAAGAGCTGAAAAATAGAACAGGTAATATCACCTGGGATTGTTGATCCAGGGAATATCCAATTGCCTCGGGGGGATCAATAAGGATTTTTTTTTCCACTGCTGGAACTAATTGGACCATGCTTTATAGGGTATCTTGCCTTTCTCTGGATCAACTATGGGCATAGGATTCTGTATATGGAGGTTTTCTATTTGTTTACTTCCTTTGCTGGTTAACCACATCCCGACCGATTTAGCAGATATACTACTACAGGGTGGCAGGGGTGCGTAAAATCATGTATATATATATGAGATTTTGTATTTCCAGGTAGGAGGCGCACGGCTATTCGTGGCTGTGGCTGTCAATCACTGGGTCCCGGCCGGTGATTACCTGCCAGTGCCTGGTGATTGCAGAGCATCTCCAACGGGGAGGAGGACTGCTTTGTTTACTAACAGTCCTCCTCCCTGTCAGCTCGGGCACACTGCTCTGGATGGCTGTGCACAGCACAGCCATCCAGAACATTGTGATTACAGTGAAGCACACAGACACCACCCCCCAGTAAAACACTCCCAGCACACAGTTAACCCCTCATGCTTCTTTTCAGCACTGATCACTGTATTGGTGTCACTGGGGATGACAGTGACACCAAGTCAGTTCCCCCCAGTGTCAAAATGCCCACCGCAGTCCCGCAGTCTTGCAGTCCCACTATAAGCTGCTGATCGCCGCCATTAATTTTTTTTTCCTGGACATGTTTAATAGCAAAAAGTCAAAATATTGTTTTTTTCTCAAAATTGTCGGTCTTTTTTTTTTTATAGCACAAAAAAAAAAATGCACAGGAGATAAAATACCACTGAAAGAAAGCTCAATTTGTGGGAAAAAAGGACATAAATTTCATTTGGGTGCAGCATTGCATGACCATGCAATTGTCAGCTAAAGTAACACAGTGCCGTAACGCAAAATATGACCTTGTAAGGAGGGGGTAAATCTTCAGGAGGGCAAATGGTAAACTAGATAGACTTTTTCAGCCTAACTATGCAGCTATGGATATACACAAATCAACCATTACATTATGCTTACCCACTATAATATGACCACCCACCTAATATTGAGTAGGTCCCCTGACCCATTGAGGTATGGACGCCACAAAACCTCTGAAGGTATGCTGTGTTATCTGGCACCAAGCCATCAGTAGCAGATCACTGTCTTCCACTGCTTGCCTTCTTCCATTAGTGCATCTTGATGCCATCTCTTCTTCAGGTAAGCAGCGCTCACACATCTCGCCATCCACATGATGTAAGAAAACATGACTCGTCAGACAAGTCCACACTTTCTGTGGTCCATCTCTGATGCTCATGTGCCCATTGTAGACACCTTTGGCTGTAGATACAGGAAAGCATGGGTACGGTGACCAGTCTGCAGCTATGTAACCCCATTAACAACAAACTGTGATGCACTGTGTATTCTGATGCCTTCCACATATCAGATACATCATAACAAGAGCTGCAGTTTTGGAGTTTCTCTGACCCAGTCATCTAACCAATATAATTTGGCCCTTGTCAAAGTTGCTCAAATTCTTATGCTTCCCCATTTTTTCTGCTTTCAAAGCATCAACTTTAGAGGCAATATGTTCACTTGCTTCCACTGGGTAAATGCTCCTATCTGCACTCCACTCTTAACTACAATAATGCACTGACTCCTCTTAATTTCAAAACAACTAGTGTATATATATTCGTGTATATGTTGTTTAGTTCTCACCTCTAGCTGCACTCGTTTTATGACTGTAGTCTGTATCTGGTGTGTTTGAGAAACATCCCCCCCTATTCATGTGATCTTTCTCAGTTCCTAATTGGGGTGGAGAAGAGTGCTCATTTGGCCATCTCCCTATAAATTTAGAACAGCCAATGGGGGGAGATCACTGATGGGGGGCACAGTCAGTGATGGGGTGCTGCTTTTGTGTGAGTGCTGGGTTGATGGAGTGCTAAGACGCAGTTAAACACAGCAGCTTAACTAAAGCAGGTTAACTCAAGCAGCAGGAAGATACAACAACAAGAAACTCTACTGCATGCTGGACGTACTGCAAGCAAACACCCTGGGAAACATCTCTTAGAAGTCTGAGTCCCACTCCGTGTACCTTTTAATATGTCCCCTCTGCTTCTCCTTTTCATATTACTTTCCTACGTTCCCAAAATCTCACTTCTTTACCCCTCTGCTCCACCCCAAAACTTGTACATCTCACCCTCACTGCTACCATCTCCCTACTACTGCTCTCATCACCTCCTGCTGATACTTCACTCTTCTGCTGACCCAAACACCAGGACTGGAAGGCATGTGCACTCGTGTACACTCCGCTCCCATGTTACTTTCCTCAGCCTTCTTCTTCTCCTACCCTCTGGGGATATCTCCCCAAACCCTGGTCCTCCAGTATTTCACCCCCACACCAGACATCCTCTTTCTTCCGGGAATAGACGCAATCCCCTCAATTTAACATCGGTCCCCGTGCTCCCAAAAACCACCCTCCCTTTTTCATGTGTGCTCTGGAATGCCCACTCTGAAAAAGAGCTCTGTTCATGACCTTTTTGTCTCCCGCTCCCTTAACCTACTAACAATTACAGAAACCTGGCTCCAAGCAGCAGATTCTGCTTCTCCAGCAGTACTTTCCTATGGAGGCCTCATCTGGACCCACTCACCCAGACCCAGTGGTCGGAAAGGTGGTGGGGTTGGTTTGCTTCTATCCCCACTGAGCACCTTTCAAGTCCTCCCTAACCCTCCCTTTCTATCCTTCTTTTCTTTCCAGACTCACTGCATCCGGCTGTTTTCTCCCATTTCTCTGAGGATTGCAGTGATCTATCGGCCTCCTGGATCAGTGTCCTGCTTTCTTGATGATTTCTCCACCTGGCTACCCTACTTTCTCTTCTCTGAACTACCCACTATCGTTCTCGGAGATTTTAACATCCCTATCAATGTCAACAACCCGGCTACATCCCAACTCTTCAACCTAACCTCATCTTTTGCATTAGCACATTGTATACAGTCCTCCACTCACTCTGATGGGAATACATTGGACCTTGTTTTCTCCCGTCTTTGCACTCCCTACAATCTCACAAACACCCCCTTTCCTCTCTCTGATCACAATCTCATCACCTTCACAGTGTCCACATCTTCAAACACCTATCCCTCCAAGCGGCAAACAATTACCCGCAGAAACCTTCACAACTTGAACCCTGCTCCTTTCTGCTCTGCAACTGACAAACTCTATGACAGAATCTCTCCCCTTTCCTACCCTGACCTGGCTTGCTGTCTACAACAGTTCGCTTTCATCCACATTAGACTCGCTTGCTCCTCTAACAACACGAAGCATCAGGACCCGACCGTTGCAACCTTGGCAGACTGACGACACCAGAAATCTTAAACGACATAATCGTGTGGTGGAGCGATTGTGGCATAAAACCAAATCCCAACAAGCATTCACCTGATTTAAATCTGCTTTCTTAACATACAATTCCTCCCTTCATGCTGCCAAACAAGCCTACTTTGTCACTCTTACTAATACCTTGTCATCCAGTCCTCGTCGTCACTTCTCTACTTTTAACTCTCTACTTTCTCCACCTCCACCTCCATTCAGTACCTCACTCACTGCTCACCAGATTGCAAATCATTTCAAAAACAAGATTGATGCAATTCGTGGGGGCACCGCCACTGCACAGACTTCCATCCCACTTAGCATACCTTATTCTAAACCTCCCTCAACACTTTCCTCTTTTGACCTTGCTACTACCGAAGAGGTCACTAAGGTTTTCTCTGAAGCCAGTCTCACTACCTGCCCCCTGGATCCTGTCCCCTCACAACTACTACGGTCACCCTCTCCTTCCATCCTAGGCTCCCTCACTCACATCTTCAATCTTTCCCTCTCTACAGGTGCCTTCCCCTCCCCTCTAAAGCATGCGCACATCACTCCCATAGTTAAAAAGCTCTCCCTGGACCCCACCAACCTGAACAACTTAAGACCCATCTCCCTGCTGCCATTTACCTCTAAACTCCTAGAACGCTTAGTCTACAATCGCCTGAGCCCCCACCTCACCTACAACAACCTTCTTGACCCTTTATAGTCTGGCTTTCACTCACTACACTCCCCTGAAACTGCCCTACTAAAACTCACCAATGATCTACTAACTGCTAAAACCAATGGCCACTACTCCGTACTCTTACTACTTGAGCTCTCTGCGACTTTTGATACGGTTGACCATCCCCTCCTCCTCAAAAAACTCAACTCTCTTGGTCTCAGAGACTCTGCTCTCTCCTGGTTCTCCTCCTACCTATCGCAGTGCTCCTTCAGAGTTACCTATAATGCTGCCTCCTCCTCTTCACTCCCTCTTTCTGTAGGGGTGCCTCAAGGATCTGTCCTTGGACCCCTTCTCTTCTCCATCTACACCTCCTCCCTTGGTCACTTGATAAACTCCTATGGCTTGAAGTACCATCTCTATGCTGATGACACACAAATCTATCTTTCTACCCCTCACCTCACCCCTTCAGTCTCCTCTCGCATTACTAACCTACTAAGCGACATATCGGCATGGATGTTACTCCACTTCCTCAAACTCAATCTTTCCAAAACTGAGCTCTTAGTATTTCCCCCAGCCCGTGCCCCCTCCCCTGACTTCTCCATCAAGATCAATAACACAATCATCATTCCCTTCCCTCATGCCAGGGTACTAGGTGTACCCCTAGACTCCCATCTGTCTTTTCACCCCCAAATCCAATCACTGTCCAAATCTTGTAGACTTCACCTCCGCAACATCTCCAAGATACGCCCGTTCCTAACCTCGGAAACCACTAAGCAACTTATTCACTCCCTTGTTATATCTCGCCTTGACTATTGCAACTCCCTCCTCATTGGGCTACCTCATCGCTGGCTATCCCTTCTTCAGTCTATCATGAATGCTGCTGCTAGACTCATCCACCTTACTAACCGTTCCATATCTGCCACTCCTCTCTGCCAATCCCTCCACTGGCTTCCCATTGCCTAACGGATAAAATTCAAAACATTAACAATAACGTATAAAGCCATTTATAACTCTGCCCCAAATTACATCAACAATCTTGTCTCTAAATATCACCCAAACCGGACTCTCCGCTCCTCGCAAGACCTCCTGCTCTCTAGCTCCCTTGTCTCCTCCTCCCATGCTCATCTCCAGGACTTCTCCAGAGCTTCCCCCATCCTCTGGAACTCTCTACCCCAATTTATCAGACTATCACCTACTCTGCTCACTTTTAGGCGATCTCTGAAAACCTATCTCTGCAGGGAAGCCTATCCTGCCCTCAGCTAATAATGGAATCTTCTACTCTTCCAGCCAGTCCATTACCCACAGTTACTACCTTTTGTACCACTAGCCCCTCCCTCCTAGATTGTAAGCTCCAAGGAGCAGGGCCCTCCTTTCCCTCTTGTATTGAACTGTATTGTTGCTGTATTGTCTCCCGTTATATTGTAAAGCGCTGAGCAAACTGTTGGCGCTATATAAATCCTGTATAATAATAATTATAATAATAACTTGCTGCCTAATATATCCCACCCACTTTCAGGTTCCATTGTCATGAGATAATTAATGGTATTACTTCACTTTTATTCAATTTAATTCACTTTACTGATCAATGTATATAACACAGAATGAAAGACATTAAGGGAGGATCTAATCCTTCCATGCTCTTTCCAAAATGTAAAAAAAAAATATTTGACTGTACACAAAATTTAAACTTTACCAAAGTGAACACATTTTAGTCAGAGGTTTAAGGCTACCTATATAATCTATTTAATTTAAACAATAAAAAAATTAATAAAAACTAACATTTCCCTATGGCAGTGTGATCTCCTGGTTGGGATCGTGCGTAGTCCCTCTTCGATTAGTAGGGTGCTATTTTTGGTATCTCCCAGGCCTGTACATTGGTCCAACTATTGTCTAGCGTGTATACCTACTAACATTATTGATATTAGTGTGGTGATTGCACTGTGGAGTGATAGCTGCTCTTTCATGGTTTTGATTACTTAATTTTTATGGTGTATTTTTTTTATAAATAAAAGTGTTTTTTTTGCACTGTATTTTATAGAGTGCCCTTGAATTTCCAAAACCCAAATGCTTTATTATTCAAATAGTAGCCAGCTCCCCGGTATAGAGATGCAGTCTACTTCCTGGACCTTGATTTTGCTCCAGCACTGTGCCTTACTGTCTAACAGTAAGGTCCTGAATGCTACAAGAAGTGAGTCATGGCTCTCAAACTCCAGAAATGGCCAATAATTGCAGAAAGGAGTTATAGTGTCTGGGGTTGAGACCTCTAGACTTTACCTGGGCAAATCTGTAGGCATCAGCAAGTGCCAGATTTAGCTTAAAACTGGCAAGTATAAAGTTCTGGCTAATGGATTTATCCAGTTTTGTGTATTCTACTGCTTGTCAGCCAAATTTCTTCATTGAAATCAAAAAGATTGCTTATGTTTTGTATATGAATTGATTTTTATCTTTTGTGTATGAAATCCATTTAACTTGTAAATCAATTCTTTCTTTACAAAATTAACTAGCATTTTAAATTAATTTTACTATTGAGCCTTAAAGACGTTCTTTAAGGCTCAATGCACCATCTATATATAAATTAAAGAAAGAAAAAAGCAATTGAAGTTACTGCTGTAATTGTAAAGAGCAATTTAACAGTTCCTTTCACTACATTCATTTACTGGTCTGTTATGACTTGCTGATGAAAGTTTGTTCTGTAACTGCATCATTTATTTTGTAGGGGCATGGGATAAAGCAAAAAACAAGGAAAGTCTAACTGCATGTGAACTGCTGGCAGGCAAACTGATGTTAGATCACTCCCAAAGCAACAGTACATGTATTGTAAACTCTTTCCGCACATCTACCAACAAAGCACAAATCATTTTGTAAGCTGAGAGTTTTAATTTCAATTTGTCTCCAATACAAAACCACAACAGCTGCCGAGTCTGAGGCTTTTGAAACATTTTTAGACTGATCAAATGATGAGAAATTGCCTGTCCCGGAAGAAAGCATTAAATATTCATCTCTTTGCCAGATTGGCACAACCAGGAAGCATTCTCTCTATGTGGAACGTAACCTGAAGCTCTAGATTTCTATTGATAATTCATTATATGTGTTTTTGCTATCTCTTCCCAGTTCTACTGGATGCTTTTTACTATAATGATTTTATAGTGTGCTACCTAACAGCATCCTGAATATACCAGTTGTGTGTTCAATAATATTATTCTGCCATCAATCTTATGGGAATGCTTAAAAGCTTTCTCTCATCCTCTCACTTTAACTCATGTATTATCTGAGTTTTACATTAAATGGACAGTTTTAATATCTCCTGACATGTCAACCTCTTTTCTGTGCATGTAACTGATAATTTAGTGCTTAGCTGCTTCCAAAATCGATGCTAATGCCGTTAACTGCACACGCAGGAGGAAAGTCTCTTTGCTTTTAATCTGCAGGAGGAACTTGGGCAATAGAAGTAAAACAATTTGGACAAACGTGAGCTCAACTGATGTAATTTGCAAATAGAATTTACTTTGGCTCCTTATACATTCCGAGGAAGTGAGGTGTCAGAGAGCTAATCCATTTACTAGAGAAGTATCCTCAATCCTCAGAAAATTCCAGACTCTCAAATGTGTCAGAAATAAGAAGCACTTTTTCATAAGTTCAAATTTTGACATGGGTTTCTCTGCTATATTCTAGATATAAATTATCTGAAAATAGTTTTGGCATGAGTACATGCCATTGTAATTTCAAGGTTAACTTAGAAAACAGTTAAACAGTTTGGTTTGAATCCAAAACATTGATAATGTAGAAAATATGACAAGTACTTTTGCCTTCCAAAGGTAATACTGCTTTATAAAGAATTTTGTGCAGTCTGTGATGTAGATGGATTTGCCATCTTACAAATATTCTGGTATATATTGTATGCCTGCACTTATTGTAGGTGAGTAGGCTTATTCTCAGTCCTTTTTAAGCAGCTGAATTATAGCTTGTACTTTTTCCAGCCTAAGACCCATATATGCCTTGCATTGCTACATCAATTAATCAATTATGAAGCAGAGAAATGCAATAAAATACACATTTAGTTCATGAAATATAACACTTTATTGCTTAAAGAGTGAAAAAAAGTGAAACGTTTTTCTTCCATTAGGAGCAGCTTTTGACTGTTGCGCCCCTTTAAGATTCAGGCAACTTTAGGTCACATCAAGGTTACAGTTTTACTGTATTCTTAAAGCCTGGAAGAGCGTATTACCTTTTGTTCTTGTGCATGCAGTTTAATATTTGTTTTGCTGTAAAATTTTCAGTAAAATAATTATCTTAAAACCATACAGTATATCCAGTAATGAGGTCCTACAACAGTCATTGCTGTTGTATATTAGTAGTACATAAAGTTAGATGATAATGATTTTAAAATGGAATTTAGGTTTACTTTGACTTCAGAGGAAGCCATGTATTTGGTGATAAAAATACAAGACTGAATGAGCAACTTCCTGTCTGCTATTAGAACTAAACTGAGTTGGCCGTAAGGCTTCTCCACCATTCAAGAGAAGCCTTGCATTTATTAATAAAAATATAAGGCTTCTCCTGACTGGTTGAGAAGCATTATAGCCAACAGTTTAATTTCAGTAGCAGACAGGAAGTTGCCCATACAGCTGTAGAACACAGTGCCAATTACTGTACGTAACTGATTCTACAACAATATAGTGCAGCTCACACAGTGACTGCATTTGTTATTAACCACTTGCCCTCCTGAGGATTTACCCCCCCCCCCCCCTTCCTGACCAGGCCATTTTTTGTGTTATGGAGCTGAATTACTTTAGCTGACAATTGCGCAGTCATTCAAAGCTGCACCCAAATTTACGTTCTTTTTTTCCCATGAATTGAGCTTTTTTTCGGTGGTATTTGATCTCCTGTGTGTTTTTTATTTTTTGCACTATAAAAAAAAAGAGTGACAATTTTGAGGAAAAAAACTATATTTTTGACTTTTTGCTATTAAACATGTTCAGTAAAAAAATGTAAAAAATCAAATTTCATCATAAATTTAGGCCAAAATGTATTCTGCTGTTTTCTTTGCTAAAAAAAAATCCCAATACGTGTAAATTAAATGGTTTACGTGAAAGTTATACAGTTTACAAATAACGGTATAGATACTGGAATGACGGCAATCAGCGACTTATAGCGGGACTGCGGCGGACATTCTGACACTGGGAGGGACTGACTTGGTGTCACTGACATTCCCAGTGTCACCACTACAGTGATCAGTGCTACAAAAAAGCACTGACACTGTACTAATGGCACTGGGCAGGAAGTGGTTAACATGAGGGACGATCAAAGGGTTAACCGTGTGCAGGGAGTGTTTTACTCGGGGGATGGTGTCTGTGTGCTTCACTGTAATGATACTGCTTTGGATGGCTATGCTGTGGCTATGCTGTGCAAAGCAATCCAGAGCAGTGTGCCAGAGCTGACAGGGAGGAGGACTGTTAATAAACAAAACAGTCCTCCTCCCCATCCGAGATGCTCGGTAATCATCGGCTGCCGGCGGGTAATCACCAACCAGGATTCGGTGATTGACAGCTGCAGCCATTAATGGCGCAGGTAGGGTGAGCGCGTGGCTCGCATGCGCCCCTTACACAGAATTGCAAAATGTATATATACATGATTTTGCGCACCCCCACCACCCTGTAGCAGTATATCTGCTATACAGGTGAAACTTAAAAAATTTGAATATCGTGCAAAAGTTCATTTATTTCAGTACTGCAACTTAAAAGGTGAAACTAATATATGAGATAGACTCATTACATGCAAAGCAAGATAGTTCAAGCCATGAGTTGTCATAATTGTGATGATTATGGCTTACAGCTCATGAAAACCCCAAAAGAAAGCTGACAAAATGTATAAGGAAAACTAGGAGCAGTTGGAAAACGATACTATAATTCTGATTGCTAGCTCATTTGGCACTAAACACTTTGCTTCCTTTTTTTGCTGTTAGTGGGCGTTTTTTAAATCTTTCATTTTATTTTGTGATTTGAGGTCAGCTGTCACGTTTAGGTGGTATCCTGTTCTATCTAAACTTTGTTTTTTTCACTGCAAGGCATCCCTTTAAAAAACTGACTTGTGTGGAGTGGTATTTTGGGGTTTTCATTTTCTTTGGGGTAAGTTAGTTTTTATTTTATGTTGATAGGGTCTTCATTTTAGGTTTAACTGCTTTTTTTATTCAGTTTTTTTTTGCTGCAAGCTTTCCCTGGGATTTGGGGATGTGGCCGACCATGGAGAGAGATGGCTGCGAAGCTTCAGAGCTTTTCTCCACCATGCCATGCTGGACCAATTTCCAGCCAGACAGAGAGGCAGCAACAAACCCAGACATCCCGCATAGCCACATCAGCAACCGAGGATCATGTCGGGTAAGTGAAAAGAGAGATACAAACTAGGAAAGCTGCTAAATTTCTTCCCAACCCAACCATTCGGCCAAAATGGCGCCAGCAGCATGCCAAAAACTGCACACAGCCACCCAGCGGGACAGAGGGAGGTAAGCCAGCATGACAAGCACCAGGGCTCTCCTACAAAAGCTCTCAATCCTCCTCACTAAACACAAGTTCTGCCAAAGCCAAACAGAAAATATGCCATAATGGAAACCCATTCATCCAAGGGGATTATTCAGATGGCACACTAGATGACACCAGGAAACTGAGAGATTCAATACTAGATTTTCCTACCACAAACCAGACAGTCATGGACACGATCTTAAAAGATATGCTGGTCTCCCTGTGTAGTTCAATCCACTCAGATTTAATTTCTCCAATGCTGCAGTTTAAATATGATATCACTGAAGTGAGTGACTGGGTCTCACATATTTAAAACAAAAATGGGGGAATTTGCAGCTACTTTCAACACCATGGTAGATGCACACAATGACCAAGACAATGAAAGTGGATGGAGGCCAAGATAGCAGATCTTAATGACAGATCAAGACATAATAACGTCAAAATCAGAGGTATACCAGAAGCATTTAAACCCTTTGAATTAAAGACCTACTTCACTTATATCCTAAAAAGCTGCCCTACCACATGTCCAAACCAAGGCACATTCCAGAACATCTTCCTAGGGATACAATCACATGGATCCACTATTATCAAATGAAAAAAACAACTTCTGTCTCTATCTAGGAAATCAGTTCAATCTCCTCCATGCTTGAAAAATCTCATGCTCTTTGCTGATTTGTCAGCATATACCATGCAAAAAAGAAAGAATTTGGAAATGATCACCAAGCCGCTACGCAATCATCATATTGCCTACAGATGGGCCTACCTAGCCAAACTACTTATTACTAAAGAGGATGGCACATACCCAATCACTACAATAGAGGACGATATCCACCTTCTGAAGGAATGGCATATCCTGGAACCAGAAATGCCCAAAGAGGCACACCACCATTCTTTCCTCCAGAACTACCAGATTGGCAAGATGCAGAAGCTTGTTAATCTTTGAGTGGTTTTTTTCATTACTATACCATAATGAACCTCCGTTTTGTTACACACAAGTTTTTACTGGAAATTTTGATTAGAAGAGGTTTGTATCAAGCATTTGAAGGTCATGGTTGTATTTTTGGATCATGTTTCACACAGTGTTTTGCCTTTATCCACTTGCCCTTTAGAGGATTTACCCCCCTTAATGACCAGGCCTCTTTTTGCTACTCGGCGCTGCACTAATTCAACTGATAATTGCGCGGTCATGCAATGCTGTACCGAAACAAAATGTACGTCCTTTTTTCACACAAAAGCAGCTTTCTTTTGGTGGTATTTGATCATGCGCTTTTTATTTTTGGTGCTATAAACTAAAAATGTTTTGAGGAAATTTTTTTTTTTTGAAAAAAACTATATTTTCTCATTTCTGTGATAAAAATATCCAAAAAAAACTAAAATTTCATCATAACTTTAGGCCAAAATGTATTCTGCTCCATGTTTTTGGTTAAAAAAACCCCCAATAAGTGTTTATTGATTGCTTTGTGTGAAAATTATAGCATCTACAAACTATGGTATAGATAATGGAATTTACACAGCTTTTACTTTCTGACTGCCCATCACATTTCTTGAGGTGCTAAGGATAGTACAACACCCCCAAATAACCCCTTTTCGGAAAGTAGACACCCTAAGCTATCTGCTGAGAGGCATATTGAGTCCATGAAAGATTTATTTTTTTCCACAAGTTTCTGGAAAATGACAAAAATGTTTTTTTTCTACACAAAGTTGTCATTTAAATGATATATTTCTCGCACAAGCCAAGGGTATATGTGGAATTACACCCCAAAATACATTCAGCTACTTATACCGAGTATGGGGGTACCACATGTGTGAGACTTTTTGGCAGCGTAGCCACATACAGGAGCCTGAAATCCAATGACCACTTTGAAGGCCTGAAGGTGCGTAACTTCCTCATTTCACTTCCTCACTACCTATCAGTTTCAAAGGCCCTGAAATGCCAGGATTGCACACTCCCCCAAATTATGACTTTTTGGAAAGTAGACACCCCAAGGAATTTAAAAAGAGGCATGATGAGTATTTTGCAGATCTCATTTTTTCTCACAAGGTTTTGAAATATAAAAAAATAAAAGAAAAAATATGTTTTTGTTTTTTTTCTTCAATTTTCAAAAACTTGTGGCAACAAATGAGATCTGCATACTTACCATGCTTCTTATCAAATTCCTTGGGGTGTCTACTTTCCAAAAAATGGTCATTTGGGGGGTTTGGTGCTATCCTGGCATTTCAGGGCCTCCAAAACTGTGATAGGTAGTCAGGAAGTGTAATGAGGAAATAAAGCCCTGATGGTGCTTTTTGGATTTTGGGGTCCTGTACTTGGCTAGACTGCCAAAAAGTCTCTCACATGTGGTACCCCCATACTCGAGAGAAGTAGCAGAATGTATTTTGGGGAGTAATTCCACATATACCCATGGCATGTGTGAGCAATAAATCATTTAAGTGACAATTTGTGTAAAAAAAAAATAAAATGTTTTGTTTGTCATTTTCCAAAAACTCATGGTAAAAAAATAAATTCTTCTATTGATTCAACATGCCTCTCAGCAAATAGCTTGGGGTGTCTACTTTCCAAAAAGGGGTCGTTTTGGGAGGTGGGGGCATTTTATGCCCAGCATTAGAAGTTTATGCCACACATCACTCACTCTTCTAACCATCTGAAGATCAAGCCTTTACTGACACTTTTTGTTCACATGAAAAAATCAGCATTTTTTGCTAGGAAATTAATTTAAACCCTGAACATTATATATTTTTTTAAAGCAAACACCCTAGTGAATAAAATGGTGGGTGCTGCAATTTTTTATGTCGAATAGTACTAGCGCACAGCGATTTTTCAAACGCAATTTTAAAAAAATACACTTTTTTTACTTTTAATGCACAAAAAAACACAAAATATTGGCCAATTATTTGGTAAAATATAAAAGATGACGGTATACAGAGTAAATAGATACCAAACATGACATGCTTTAAAACTGCACATGCTCCATGCAATGGCGACAAACTGCATATGTTTTTAATATCTACAGGCAACATTTTAAAAGCCTTTACAAGCTACCATTTTAGATTTACAGAGGAGGTCCAGTGTTAGAATTACTGTCCTTGATCTTATGTTAGTGGTGATACCTCACATGTATGGTGCAACCGCTGTTTTCATACTGGCACAGAGTAAACGCTCACGAACGCAGATGCGCGCGTGTGCGTGGGGGACGAGGGTACTTTTTTTTTAGTTATTTAGATTTTTTTTTTTATTATTTTAACACTGTCCCCTTCATTTTTTTTCTTTGACCACTTTTAATGCTATCACAGAGAATGCAAATATCCCTATAACTTCAATGGGCATTGTCATATATTCTTTTTTGAGAAATCTGGGGTCTATCAGACTCTAGATATCTCCTCTGCCCTTACATTATCTAATCAAACCAAGATCGATGTGATGAGATGCTGTCCCAATTTACAAATGGCGCTGTTTCTATCCTGTGAAACTGAAGTGATGAAATGCTCGTAGCTTCCGATTTCTTAGCCTATAGAGATGATTGGCACCATTCTGGCCTAAAATCAGCTCTATGGTCAGCAGGCAGAAACACCGGCTGCATTCTCAGGTTGCCCAGATAGCAAGGGACTGCCCGAGAAGGCCGTGGAAGGCAGTGGGGGAGGGGGCATCATCTCCCGCTACTTGTAAAAGCAATCCTGCAGCTAATTAGCCACTAGGATTGCTTTTACATGAAAGCC